AATTACTGTAGACTGCACCAAATTGACTTCTTCGTCCTATTTGCCGACTACCACTTAGGCCTGTGTATAGGTCTACGTCCAGTATATGTTTCTAAAGTTGCGCGCGCAATTATAGTAGGCCTACATTAATTAGGCCTGCACGCAATTCTCTTAAACTTTAGCGTCTTGGTCCCATGTCAATCAAAATCTCATATTTTAATAGTTCTCGATCTGTCTCTTATACACATCTAGATGTGTATAAGAGACAGACAAATACAATACCATATTATTTTTAGAGAAATTCACTTGATATTTTAAATAGCCGAAAATAAAAACTTTTTTACATAAAAAGCAGTGTTTTAAAATATTCCACAAAATTTTCAATAAGTTGTGGCTTTCTTGTATGTAATTTGATGTATTTTGGTAATAAAAGGTTGTTTGAAAGTTTATAGAGTGTTAATTTTGTTGTTTTGGTAGACTTTTTGAGATTTTGTTTACATGGGACAAATTTGTAAGTCCGTGACATTTACAGATGTAATGTCCGTGACACTACGTAATCCATATTATATAATGAAAATATTTTACATTTTCTATTTTTCACTCCTGATAAAGTTAGAACTATCTGTTTATTTGATTTAGGAAGGAAATTCTGATATATGCAAAAACAGAACAGGAATTTTAATTTTCCTATATACCATCAAAAGTTATGTCGCAATCCTGTAATGTCCGTGACACGTACATTTTGCATTCTGACATACACACCGTAATTTTTTTTTTTAATTTTGTGTTATATTCCTACAGTTGAGAGTGAATGGGAGTATAAAAACCAAAATTTGACTTGTTTTCATTGTGTAATCTATAAAATATAGCTCTTTATATTTTCAAATTTGTAATGTCCGTGACAAAAAAATACTGTGGAATGCCCCATGAACAGGAAAACAGAAATAACCCTTTTCCCTGTAACTTATTTTTTTTGTTTGGTTTTTTGGCAGTAATATGATTTTTTAAACAGACTTTCAATTTTATCAACAAATTTGCAAATCGTAGCATTTTAAACCAGAAACACTAATCAAGAGATATTACAACACATGATTTATACATTCCCATCTCTCCTTAAATTTTGTTTTCTTTTGTAAGTAAGATTTTCTATTTTGTGGAAATATCTTATTTTATAAATAAGTTCGCCTCTAGTTGGTTTTCTCTCCTTTATTTTACAAGTAAAAATATAGAATTTGGTAATGAGTAATATAAGGTTAAATAACATCTTATTGCTAACAAACTTTAAACCAAATAACATGGAACATTTATCTAGGTCAATATGAAGCAATGTTTTTACATATAGCAAATATCTCTAACATACGTACAGTCCCGTAAGACTGTAAAACCATTTCATTTGTTCCAAGAATTCTATGAATAATTTTATATTGAAAATATTGTAATTTTGCATCAGTGGTACATTCAAAATTTCCGAGACTAACTGGTGGTGGTATCGCCTTCATCATAAGACTAGGTCTACTGGAATGATGACTACAAAATGTCCGCAATGTTTTTGGAGATTTTAATATTCATCTTAATAAGCCTGATGATCGTGATAGTCAATAATTCTCTGAATTATTAAAAATACATGGATTTACTTCAGGTGGTGGATAAACCCACACATCATTCTGGAAATTTGATGGACCTAGTTATCACATGAGAAGACAACGTTTCATCACTTGAAGCCACAGCAGTCTCCGACCATTATCCAATCTTCTTCAAACTTTCTGTTCATCAGGGTCTGTAAATCAAAGTAAAATTACCTATCGCAGTTTTAAGAGTTTTGATATAGATAATTTTGCATCCGATCTGCTTTCATCTGAGAGTATTTACTGCAATTAAACTAAATATCAGAAAAAATATTTAGCACAGTGAATGGTCTTTTTGGTTCCTAACCATAACCACAAAAAAATCAACCTCAAACTGAAATCGAACTCAACATCCAGTGAAGCCAAAAATAACAACGATAGAGGAAATCATCAAACTTATTTAAAAATCTTTATCTGCTTTCTGTGATCTTGATCCACTACCTACAAACATACTGAATACTTAATACTTTTGTGTGACTAATAATATGTTATAATAATAATAATAATAAGGTAAGAACTTATATAGCGCCATTTAAAAAACCGAAGTAATTATCAGTGGCGCTTCATGTTATTGTTGGAATAAGTGCGTTTTGAGTGATTTTTTAAATAAAGCGATTGATGTTGATTTTTTAATGTGAAGTGGTAGTGCGTTCCAGAGTGTGGCTGCAGCAAATGAAAATGATCTGTGTCCGAAGGTCTTAGTGTTGGTGCGAGGGACAGAAATTAAATTATGTGCCAATGATAACCCCAAAGAATATATTGCTCTTTTGTTATTAGATCTTTCAGCTGCTTTTGACACGGTAAACTATAGTGTTCTTATCAGCTGCCTGAAAACCAGTTTCATGTTCAGCAGCACAGTTATCAAAGTTTTTAATGTTACCAATCAACATGATGGGATATTATGTAAGTCTAACATTCAGTCCTGACCACGTGACTTTATTTATGGCGGAGTAAACTGATGGAAATTTTTTTATAAATTAATTTCTAAGTAATTAGCCAAGACTTTATTTATTGAGGAATAAATTACGTTTTTTTGGATAGTGACTTTTGTTGTCCCATACACCATGTAGAAGTCTAAAAATTAGGCCTAAAACCAAACTTTGGAAGATAAAAACTTTTAAGTTCAGATCCTCTGTATTTAGTCTATAAATAATGCTATAGCAAATTTATGGATTTTTTTTATAAATTAATTTCCAAGTAATCAGCCTATTAATTATGTTCTGTACACACATTTATTTGCTATAAAATATATTTTTTTTAAATTTAAATTGGAATTAATACCAAGTAAGGAGGTGTGACTTTTCAGGGTGAATAAAAAATCTTAACTACTGAACTACAGAAATTCAACTACTGAGATTAACTAATAAATGAGAATTATTAACCATGTGAAAGTTAACTAAGATTGAAGAGATAAGCCTACATATTCTTTTTAAATACAATGAGTGAAGGTGCTTCACGAAGATCAGCCGGTAATGAATTCCACAGCTTTGGGGCAGCTACAGAGAATGCCCTGTCACCGTAAAGTCTTGAGACGTGGTGCGGATCTCAGAGACAGAGAACATGTTGCTGAACGAGACTTCAAAAGTTGTACAATGTATTGTGGAGCAGTATGGTTGAGAGTCTTGTATGTGAGAAGCAAAATCTTAAATGAGATGCGCTTGTTTATTGGTAATCAATGTAGTCGATTGAGGATAAGTGTAATGTGCTCACGTCTAGATAATATTCTGGGGACGAGCCAGGTTGCAGTGTTAAGGCATAGCTGTAATCTTCTCAACGACTAGCAGGAATACCTCAGAGAACAGCATTGCAGTAATCCAACTGAGATGTAATGAGAGCATGCACTAACTTAAGAAGAGCATTATTGGTCGGGAGCCTTTTAATGTGCCTAATGTTAAGAAAGTGATACGTAACGGACTTGCAGATGTTGGATGTGTTTCCCCATCTTCAAAGTAGAGTAAAAAACAACTCCAATATTGCGACCTTCTAATTATAGAAGAAAAGTCTCGGCTCCAATCGCAATGTTATTGATTGGTGGCGATGTTGAAAGGTACTTGGAATGAATACTTCTGTCTTGTCAGGATTGAAGCAGAGCATATTTTGTGAAAACCAGGCTTGTACATCTCTAAGACACTTACACATGCTTCAATCTTTTATGTCATTGATATTTTATTGTATTTTTGCCTGTGTGAAGTCGAATAAATAAATAAATAAATTAATTAATTGTATTTTTTGCCTCAAACCAATGATTAGCTAGAAAGCTAATAAACAGTTGAGTATCATCGGCGTATGCATGATGATGAACACCGTGACTACTAATAAGTTTACTCAGTGGGACAACATACAATAAAAATAATATTGGTCCCAATGTAGACCCCAGGAAGACACCTAAAGGTGAGATATGATTTAAACCATGACAGGGCTGTTCCGCATAAGCCAAAAGATGTGGTCAGGTCAAAAGCGGCACTGAGATCAAGGAAGATATCAATGATTAAACAACCACTATCAAGATCAGCTATAATGTCATTGTGAATTTTAAATATTGCCGTTTCAGTGCTGTAAAACTTTCTGTAAGCAGATTGCAAGGGGTCAAACAAATTATTTTTGTTGAGGTAATGGATGATTTGCTGAGCTACAAACTTCTCAATGAGCTTTGAGAGGAAAGCAATATTTGAAATTGGACAAAAGCTGAGACAACTATACAAGGAGATTGGAAACTCGACTGGATTCTATAATTGTTCTCTAGTTTGTGATGTTATGTGCTTCAATAAGGTTGTTCGAACCGCAAGCGGGCAACTTCCACACACAAGACAAGTGGATATTTTCTTGGCGGCATTGGACGTATTATATTTTTTTAAAACTTTTACTTTGGCAATTTCTTTGAAATGTAATATATTGCAGTTTAAATGTTTGAAATTTATGGTATGCGTACATACTGTAAAGCTACAGTAGGCTAGTAATTCAGCAACCCCCTATCCTCAGCCGCCTAGGGCTAGGCCTAACAGGATGCCTGAATTGAAGAAACAAACTAAATCCAAAGTACATAGCAAAAAAAAAAACAACTACCTCCCTCTATACAGGATATTTTTTTGGTCACCACTCAGTGAACAGGAAACGAGGTTTTTTTTAGGATGGCCTATGAAGCTTTCAGTTGTCACTTTACTAGTGAAATTTTTAGATGATGTTTTCTACATGAAAATTTCAAATATGATGTCACAAAAAACTGCTAGCAAAACTATAAAAAATATGAGATGTTATTTAAGATATTATCATCAATATCACCGCCATCGTCTTCACTATCAATATTAGAATCCCCATCTATTATCATCAACACTTTCACTACTACCATTACACCACCATCTACTACTATCACAATATTACTTTAATTCAATCACTTACCTAATACAGTTATTTCAATCGACTTTGATGTCAATCCAATGCTGTTAGCTACATCCACTGTTATTGTAAACACTGTGACGTTAACATCTGGTACATTGACTGTGAAAGTTGCTGGGTTAGTGTCTGTGTCTTCAATTCCAGAAGGATCAGTGGTCCATTGATAAGTGACATCACTAGGATTAGCTGCAACTTCAAATTCAATAACATACTGTTCATTCTGACCAGCAGTGTCTTCGTTTACCAGTCCAAATTCAGGTTTATCTGGAAGACAGAAGCATAGTGATTGTTAGAATTATGAAGAAGAAACTAGATTCGGAATTCGTCATAGACGAATTCGGTGATACGCTGGGACTGATGATAGTTATTTTGATGATTTTTGAATAATTGAACATGAAGGAGAATTTTGGTATCAGAATAAAAAAAAGGCATTTAACAAGACATGGAAATTTGTTAATACAATGTCAGTATGTCGACTCAAAAGTGTACGAATTTGTATATTTGATGCGCACGCATTGTTTTTGTACTAAAATAGCTGAGAGAGAATGGAACTGTGAATTCAGTGTCAGGAAATCATGATATGCTAAAAAACCTAATTTTCAATTTCAAAAAGTGCTGTGCACGTGAAAATGTGCGTACGCCATGACACGTGCGGATGGCATTGCACACAAAGTTAAACCTTGATATGTAGTACACTTGTGTCTTTCGGGTTGTAATCCACCCTGCTGCCGTTTGTTGGGGTTCGTTATGTAGTGAACATGTAGAATGAGGGTTTAAGTAATGTTAATAAAGTTGAACTATTAGAAATCTTTGCCGCCGGTAGCGTGTCACATAATAACCACCATGTAATCAAAAGAATATTGAAGAAAACCGATTTAAACAAATTTTTTCATTGATAATATGCCTGATCTTGCGGACGTAAGTTGCCGTTAGAGTCAAATGCATACCCTTTTACCCATTTTTATGTTGTGTTAGGACCCAATTCCAACCTGAATCTTCCATGGGTCTTCAATTTATGAAGAATATTATTATGTTTTCGTCACTAAGGACGAGTTAGGTGATCCGCCGGACATCGACCACAGAAGTGTACTGAAAATGACCTGAAACGACGAGTTCAAATCTAGTCTTCTTTTTCTTATTCTTCTTTCTTTCTCCCCATTTCTGTTCGCACGATATCTCAAAATTGCTGCGAGCTACGCACATGCCAACTTCAACAAACATTTGGCTTCATCTGAAATAGTCATAACAAGCTTTTTAAGGTTGCCAGTCACGCGTGACGTCATCTACGCACAATTTTGATACCTGTTCGTCGTAACATACAAATTTTCCCTTCATATGAACTATATAATCAGTCTGATAGCGTCGAAATACAGTCTGCCGCCCTCTGTTGGTCTGTCCAATATATTATTTCTCAATAATTGAAGATGAAGAGGTCCAAAAATCATTCATTTTGACCATGATGACATCATCAAAATGAAAATGAAGGACATGATTCCGAAAGAGAATTGTCTCAGCTATAACTTACTCGGAAGATGAGAAACGATTGACTAACAATAAAAAAGATACGCTTAAATAAATGAGGAAATTAAAGGAAAAAGTTTTTTTAAATTCAGATGGCAAAATGATGACGTCACAATTTCCGATCAGCCATTATGATCTATAAAATCATATCTACAGCTCATGTGCTTTCAGAATATGTAATAAAAAATGGGTGTTACCGATCATTCTAAGGAGCTATAGCTGATTGAATATATGTATGATTTTGAGCACTTAAATTTTCGACGCATGCGTACGCGCATGTTATGATGCGCGCACGGAAAATTTGCATTCATACTTGACTTGAAGTTTTATGTCAATTGAATATGATTTAGAAATGTCAATTATTTATGATGATATAGGCAATTTAAATGATTTGAGGAAAGAAAGATGAATGGTCAGATAAAAAAATTATGTAAAAAATGATGACGTCATGTAAAAAGTCATGACATTTATGAAAGAGAATTGTCTCAGTTATAATCTTCCTCAAAGTTTGGAGAAAATCGATCAAAGATAATGAAGATACGCTCAAATGCGCATTTTTTTTAAATGATGTCATCGATAATATTCAGTTTGTTGAATTCAGATGGCAATATGATGACGTCATAATGTCCGATCAGCCATTATGACCTATAAAATCATTACAACTTATGTGCTTTCAGAATATATAGTAAAAATTGGGGGTCACCGATCATCCTAAGGAGCTATAACCGATTGAAAATAGGCGCGCGTAGAGCATTCCTATTGACCCTAAATGACCGAAAAAGATTGGAAATTTGTGAATACAGTGTCAGGAACCTAAAACATGTAAAAAAAAACGATAATTCCAGCTTCTGTACGCATTTTTATGCTCGCGCGAGATGAAAAATTCGAAAAATTACGAAATGCTCAAAATGACCTAAAACATGCTCTAATTTAGTCAAAAGGTGATTTTGAGCATTTTAAAATTTTGACGCACGCATACGCACATACTTTACTGTGGATGCACGGACGGTAATGGTGCAGGAAGTTGACACTTGATGTGAAGTATACTTGTGTCAAGTTTCATTGAAAAATACCTGTTAGTAAAGAAGTTATGGTCAATGATAGAATTTCACAAAATGGCGCGTAGATGGCGTCACATAACTGTGACGTCATCCACAAAGTCAGGTGCACAACTTCAGATGTAGATCTATATGCTACGTTAGCAGCAAGGATCAAGCATGTGCCGTTTTTGAGAAAATCAACCCACAAAAAAGGTGGGAAAGAATAAAAAAAATAAATAAATAAAGAAAAATCCGAACGAAAACAAAGGTGATACGCTCGGAAGCGTATCACCAATAAAGGCAAAGGTAAAAAGAAAAGTTTGAATATAAACCATAGCATATAAATTCATTATGTTCTCAATCATTTTTACTTCTTTTTATTATTATGCACTTATGAAAAAAAAATCTAAAAGAAGTAATTACATATATGTTATTTTTAGGAAATTAATGTCATTAACAAAGCCTGGTAAAAATAGCAATATCAGAGAAACATGCAAAATTGCCAAAAGTATTAGGGCATTCTGAATGTTAATATAAATTCAATATACCTGACATCATAGTGCTATGTAGCTTGGATGAGCACATTTAGCAAAGAAAGAAAATCAGTAATAACTGACTGATTTTCAAACATCTATTTCAATTAAAGTAATCATAATTCTGCAAAATACTTGGCAACTCGCCATCTCTTATAAAAACATAACACCACTCTCCTACCAGTTTTCTCTATTGACTTTTCACATAAAACTAGATTTTTACTAATAAGCTGTTCGACATGGATTATTACAATAAACTACAGTATACTGTAAGTTGACAACTATTCATTTAATGGTATTTTGTAGATTTTGTACTAAAAAGAAAAATTCCTAACTGACATAAACTTCCAATTATCATTGTGTTTGGGCAACACACTTTATTTGTCTTATTCAAATTACTCGATACTTGATACACAGAGAAATGAAAAGTCATTCATAAAATCATGTTGAGACACTTACACTGAACGTCCAATTGTTTAATTTGTGATGTATCAGTACCAGCAATGTTACTTGCTTCACATTTGTAGTTTCCTCCATTGCTCCTAGCCACATTGTCTATATTGTATGCTAGATTTTTTGTTGTTTCCGTCTTGATCAGAGCCTCATCTTTATAGAGATTGATTGTTGGATCAGGTTCGGCATTTACTGAACACACACACATTACAGATTCACCTTCAGCAACAGGATTAGGAGTAACGTCTAACATTATTGAATCTAAAACTGCAATACAAAAATATATTAATATAATTTGTATCATTCAACTATCCACTGGAATAAATTAGACATGAACTATCCTTTCACTTCACTCACCTGAATTTTAAATTAAATTAAATAAATTTTAAAAAAAATTCATAAATTCATAAATTAATTAAATGAAATAAATTAAATTAAATTAAATTAAATTAAGAATTGTAAAGCGCCTAGAGGGATCTGTGATCTGTTAGGCGCTATATAAATACGGTATTATTATTATTATTATTTTTTCAGTACCAGAGAAATACTTAAAAATTTTAATTTAACATAAATTTTTTTTTTCTGTAGTAAAAAAAAAGAGAAGTAAAATCAATAACTCAATCAGCAGCTGTTTAAGGTCATGTGAAAATCGCGCCTCTTATCATTCAAAATCCAGTTGGTGTAATTGAATCGTGAAATATGAAAAATTATGGTAATACAGGAAGATTGGTATTATTTTTTCCTCATTTATCTATTTTTCAACTTGGAGAATTGGCAGATCACTGAAAAGAGTCAGCATAGCAACGCGGGACGGGGTTTATGTTAATCCATCTTTGGGTATTTGCTTTTTCTATTGACTTATTTATGTTTTTGGGTGGCAGGTTTTTAATTCTCTTATAGGGCCTTAAATTTTGAATTTCAAAATGGCTGCTGCCAAAAAATTAGTTTTTAACCAAAAAATTGCAAATAGATCAATCGTTATTCATTTATATATCATACAATAGTCATCTTATTTTATCTAATATTTAAATAAAGGGATCAGTGATGTATTAGGAAGAAAATAAGAGCACAAGAAAACCCCCTTCGCCCCTTAATTCCCCCTGCCCCATTACCCCGTCCCAGGCCACGCCCCTCCAAAAACTTTTTTGAAAATTAAAAAACGGAGATAAAAAAGGAAAGGTACAGTATATTCAAATTTAGGCTTAAGACTGTGATTGCCATTTCTGGCCATCTAGTTGCTATAGCCATAACATTTTGTTCCTCATTTTCCACAATGTTGGACAGGGGCAGACTTAGGGAGGGGAACATTCCCCTGTTTGGCCACTGTCATCTTTTATTTTTTTTAACAGTAAAAATACGAAATGGAATACAATTACTGAACATCAATCATGCCACTATCAAACACATATCTGTATAATAATAATAATAATAATCATTTAGGCCTATATGAAATTGTTTCCCCCTCATTTAAAAAAGTTTGGATCCTTCATCTGTAGGATGGTGCCATGAAAACATTGTTGATACACAAATTCATTCATCCAAATCACTTCCTACGAGATTTACACTCTGCAGATAAACACTTGCAGTCTCACAAAAGTGATGCTGCGGCATTCTAATTAAAAAACTCAGACCTATAGCCAACAATTTTTATCAGAAATTCGTCAAACATGGTCACAATTATACACTGAAGAAGTTAAGAAACAAAGTTTAAACTTCCTATAGTACTTACATTGAAGATATGTGTATACATTTCACATTTAATATGAAGTGTCCACGGGGCAGGGGTTTAGCCAGAACAATGATATAGGCCATCCAAAATGGAAGCCAGTAGGCGTGGGCACTGAGCCGAAGGGCGGGCCACGCACATCTTTGGGAATCCCCACCGAATATTGGTACAAAAACAACATACATTCAATCAATAAATGTGGTTTTTTATTAAACGTAAGTAAAAACTGTGAGGCATTCCACTATGTTTTAGGATTACAGGGTATACTTGAAAATGATAATGTCGTCTGTAATGTAAGTAATAAATTAGGTTTAATATTCTCTAGTACTAACATTATTGACAGCTCCCGAAACTGGTCTATCCTATTGTTTAAAGAAGCGTTCGCTATACGTAGACTACACCCTTTGCTTAACAATGGGCTCAGAGCTTCAAAAGAGCTTTCTTTGTTTTTGTAGGTATCTTTGATCATTAGAGTAAGAATGCTTTGATCTTTTGTTTAAATCACTGCTATGTCACCTACTAGAGGTAATGTTTTGATTGGTTAAACACTTTTGGTACTAGTGCATATAAGCTTGATAATATAGATAATTTTTTCATTCCTGATGATGACATAATTAATGTCGCAAGTTGTTACAATAAATTCAACAACTTCTGAACCAATGAGTGTCAGTATTGGAGTTCCTCAAGGTTCAATACTTGGACCATTGCTTTTTATCGTATATGTAAATTCGCTTCCAAATTGTGAAATACTACCTTCCATCGCACTCTCCATATTTTGAAATAAATTCATTTGGATCCAAATATAATTTGTATGAAATTTTTCATTTGTGTTGATCCAGCAAAATAAAAATCAATAGTACTCACACTACGTTTCGCGAACGATCCGTTCGCTTTTTCAAGTAGACTGGTGATGTTATTTCCAGTCTGGTCTGACGTCACCTCGGTGTTGTTGAGGTCAAAGTGCATCGCTGCGTATTTGGATCCAAATGAATTTATTTCAAAATATTCGTTTGAAATATGGTCAGAATTGCGTCAAATTAATACGCCAACAGGAGAAATTACTGAGGAAGGTTTCGCGCCAAAGAAACTACCGAGTATTTTCGCTGCATTGCAAACGACTGAACATCACTCCCCCTAGCCTGCGGTTACGAGTTCCAATTAACACAAACCAAGGGTTAAACATCATTAAGAAAGCAGAAAGACAATTATTACAAGAAAGGATAAGATTAACAACGAATAACATTAAACAACTAGGTACTGAAGAGGAAATTCTAAGTAAGAAAATCGGAGAAACGATTACCGACAGAGGGGATAATAACATTATACGGAATTTCATAAACAACAGTAAGGAAGCTGAGTATGTGAAGGTTCGTGATAGACAAAAACGTAAGCTAGACTGGCGGAAAAACAAAAGTAAAAATCTAGAAAAGGAATTACATCAAGAATTAGATCTGAATGGAACACAATTTAAGGAGAAATGGGTGGTTAATTTATCTGACAGGACAATCTCTAAACAAGAACATGAGCTATTACAACGAGGCCTTAATTTTGCGGTAAGCAGAGACACCAAACCCGTGGATGAGTTGATCATAGCCACCGAGGCAGCATGTAAGCTAGCGCCTGAAAACAAACGGGACCTTATTAGAGGTAAAATTACCAGTATTATTAAATCCTCAAAGATACCACCTAACAACACAATATCTGAAGAAAGAAAAGCCCTTAATTAAAAAAGGATAAAAACATTCTAATTCTACCTGCAGATAAAGGAAGGGCAACAGTTCATCTAAACACAGTAGATTATAAAGAAAAAGTGAAAACGATGTTGGCAGATAACAGTACTTATGAATGTCTCACACACAATCCAACTCAGAAATACAAGAGAAACTTAGTTACACTCATAAACAAATGGAAAAATGATAAGAGAATTTCAGAGAAACTCAAACACCTCTTATTTCCAACGGCAGAAATTACACCTAGACTTTACTGCCTACCAAAAATACACAAAGAGAACTGGCCCTTACGACCCATCGTAGACAATATTAACACAATTTACTACCAGGCTTCCAGATTATTAGCAGACATACTTAGCCCTTTGATTGGTCTCACAGAACATCATGCGGAGAACTCAAAACAATTAACAAAAGAACTAAGAGATATACATGTACGGCCCACCGAGACAATAGTTTCGTTTGATGTCATTTCATTATTCACCAAGACACCTACAGGCCCAGCAATAAAAGAAGTGGAAAAATGTTTGTTACAAGACACTCAACTAAAATTAAGAACAGGCTTGCATACAGAGGACATTATTGAACTCTTAAAACAGGTATTAAATGCGACAACATAACAACAACATAAATTGGGACATAAAAATATTACAGAAAGAAAGCTCATGGTTTGAACGAAATCTTTATGGATCAGAAAAACAACAGATACTATGAACAGAGATGGAGGAGGACATATTCTATCACATATCTATGATGATATCATATTGAACCACAACACTAAGAGGGGGAGGGGTGCTCGTCGACGACGCAGCGATGCACTTTGACCTCAACAACAGACTGGAAATAACATCACCAGTCTACTTGAAAAAGCGAACGGATCGTTCGCGAAACGTAGTGTGAGTACTATTGTTATTTATTTTGCTGGATCAACACAAATGAAAAATTTCATACACTCTCAATATGTTGGCAAATGCACTAGTTATCCCTTTATTGGATTATTGTTGTTGTGTATGGTCTAATTGTAAAGTTGAATTTTCAGACTCTCTTCAAGTTTTAATAAATAGAATAGGTAGAATATTATTATCAGTTGATATCAAGACTCCTGTTAATAATATTTTAAATTCCCTTGGATGGGGCAGACTCAATAATAAATGGAATGAACAAATTCTTATAATGTTATTTAAGTGTCTAAAAGGAAATGCTCCATCATATTTGTCAAGCAAATTTATTTATACTGAAGAAAGCCATAATCAATGTACACGAAGTCAAAGTAATAATAATTTAGTAGTACCTAAATGGAATACTTCACAAGGTAAAAGAACATTTAATTACAGATCAACCAAATTATGGAATTCTCTACCTAATAATATATTTAGGTATATGTAAATATATTCTCTACCTAAGATACAGTATGACAATTTCCACATTCAAACAAATTATTTTAAACTTTATTTAATTATTAAATTTTACCTTAAAATTAAGACTACATTGAAATTTTTGATTATATTACTTTCTCTAAATTCACTCCTGCTTTTACATTTTAGTGCATGCATATCTATTGCAGATTTTGTAATTAATTCTGTAATTCCAAATGTAAAATTTAAAGATAAACTCTTATATTACATTTATTAAGTTACTTTTATTGATTGTATATTTTACTTTTGTTCTGTTCTTAAATTCTACAATGAAAATTTCTTGTTTTACATTCATTAGTTATGTTTGAAAATTGTTGTTACTTTTGTGTGTCAAACTGAACCACTTTGGAAACTAGTACATTGTATTGAAAGTGTATTTCAGAATAAAGAAAGAATAAATAAAAATAAAGAACCATTAAAACAAAGGCATTACAAGTGCATTTGCAAACATTTTAGTTGTGCTGAAGTTAGGAACTGCTTGACTTGGCGAATTACGCCAATTCTTTTAGAAACTTTAGAAGAAATGTTTTTGATATGTGTAGCCCATGTTAAAGTGCAATACTTACTGTACACACAAAGATATTTAAAACAATTTACTTTCTCAATGTTACTATTGCCATGGATAAGAGAAATATTAGAAAATTTAGGAGGCATGTGGGGTGTTCAAAATATCATATATTTAGTTTTTTTTTTATATTTAAAGTTAATTTATTGTTGAGCCACTAACCAACATAAAGGTTGCTTGAATGTTATTTTGAAGTTCAGTGGGATTAAAAAAGCTACAGAGAATTGTTGTGTTATCTGTGTACATTACGCATTTACCTTCAATTACATCAGGCAGGGAGATATTGAAAAGTAAAAGCCCCCGTATTGAACCTTGGGGTATTCAAATATCAATGTCCATAGCATCTGAGCGTGTAGAGTTGATTTGGACTATTTGTGATCTACTAGATAAATAGAATTTAAACCAATTTAAAGACATGGTATCAAGACCAATTTGGTGCAACTTGTTAATGAGTAACTGGTGATTCACTGTGTCAAAAGCTTTTTTCATGTCAACAAATATAGCAGCAGTCACTCTACCTTCATTAATATTATCTAAAATATAATCAGAAACATCAATTGAAAGTGTTGTTGCAGTAGAACGGTTTTTACAAAAACCAGAGTGAGCATTGTTTAAAATGTTATTAGTCGTAAGATAATAATACAACTGTTCATGAACAGCTCTTTCAATGATTTTACCAATTAACAGCAATACAAAATAGGTCGATAATTATTTGTGTCAGCCCAATCCCCTCTTCGAAAATGGGTGTAACCTTTGCCTGTTTCCACTCCAAAGGGAATGTAGAGGTAATAAAAGATAGATTAAAAATATGCAAGTGAATCACATATTATTGGGGCATTCACCTGATGAAGACCACTGCATTTTCGAAAGCTTGTGGAAAATTAAATTTGTTAGTCTGAAAAGTGCTGACTGTCTTTCAATTACTGATATTATTGGGACAGCGAGCTTTAACAAATTATAAATTTCATCTAATATATATAGGTTCAATTAGGTACAGGAAAAATGTTACTATTGGACTTAGGCATACAGTCTGTTATTAATATTGTTAGTAAAAGAGAAGGGTGATTATCACAAAACTGTGTTGCTAAGAGTTACCAACAGATGTAAAATACTTATTTAATTCATTTGCTGTTTCTCAGTGATCTCAGTCTTTAGCAAGTCTTAGAAAATCACTTCTTATCCACTTTGGAAGGCTACCCCTTTACACTTTTCTTTTTAAGAGGTTGGTAAATAATTGCCGTGGTCAGGGAAAATTGCGTCACCATTTTGAGGGCTGTGGAAGTGATTTATTTTTAAATGTAAGGCAAATTATTTTTCATACCACTCGACATAAGTTTAGGTGCACAATCACATGCCTTAAATGACAAGGTCTGTATGTTCCCAAACCAAAGAATAATTAAAAAAAAAGAAGTATCTCATGGAGCTATCGCAAGGAACAAATTAAGCCCTAATGACATGTACAGCCTTCAAATGATTTAAGCATTTTCAAGAACCACATATATATTAATAATTAATGAAACTAAAGTATATTAGTATCAACACTCCATTTAAATCTTTATTTATTAGTATTCTTACTTTGTTTTATTAATATTAATATTTTCCCTTTCTTTTTGTATACTGAATCTACAAAAAGAAAGGGAAAATATTAATATTAATACAGTATTAATATTTTCCCTTTCTTTTTGTAGATTCAGTATACTTCGTGGAGTGGATTTTCCCTGTTCCCACAATTTATTTTGCCATTGTTTGGAACAGGTTATTTTCATTTTACTTAATTGTAGAATTTTGCTTTCATAGTTATATATTTTGCAATCTTTTAAGGTATTTTAATTATGTCCTGTGTGTAACTTTTGTTTTTGTAATGATAATGTACCATATGTGTAATTTATGTAATTTTAAGGTTTCTCACAGCCATGATGAAAAACAGCATGTACAGGTATTTCTTGATTTGTGCTTCGTGAATACCAAAAACAATAGGCTCTGTCTTCTTATTACCATCCTGCATTCTGCCAAGTTTAAAACCAATCAGACTTACCAAAATTTAGTTATCATAGTATTAACTCCTTTGGGAGGCTAATAAAATAGTCTGATACAAACAACTCCTAGCAGCCTAATATCAAGACAAACAATCCATTGTGCACCCCACCTTACAATGGTATAGCCCACTGTCAGGTGGATATATGAAATATGCAAGAGAGTCGACATAGCAACATGGTTAAACCATGGAAGTATAATTGAGAAGGAGATCACTCGAAAAAGCTACACGCATGTAGAGCTATGCAAATGAACGTGAAGAACGTTTGCGCGATGCCTTTTAAGTCTAATGTGTTCCCCGCCACCAAATGCTCAGCAGGCTTTAGATTACCAAAAAATTGAACACAGCGAAATGGAGAGCACCTTCTTTTCTCAATGAGCACTACTTACAGTCAATCACTATGGCTGCGCCATCGTTTCCATCTTGAAGCTAATATATTGATCTTTCAAGAAATACCAAACATAACAATATTTTCTAAAAAATAGAGTTTCAAATTTAATGAAACATTTCAATGCTTTATCGCACAACTGCTGTGCTGGAGCGTAGAAACGCATGTCGTTGCCATGTTGTTGCTAACGAAAAAAATGTGAATTATAGGGTAATATGCCCGTGCGCGATCTAAAGGCGGGGAACACATCGGTTTGTCGCGTCAAAGGAATCTGTTGCCGAGTGATCTCCTTCTCAATAATATCTCCACGTTTAAACCCATCTCTGGGTATTTGTTTTATCATACTTGTATCTTTAGTGTTATTTACATTTTTTTTTAGTTTTTCTGTGATCCTGCAGGTTATTTCAAATGCCTTATGTTGGTATATCACATCGATCTCTGCTTTACACCAGTACATTGATAATTAGAGTTCTTGTATAAATGTGAATCCACATCATTCAATTCACTGAAATTTATTATTATATAGGCAGTGTATTCAAATTTATAAATGAGTATTCAAAATAATTAGAACTTACAAATTGGATCATTTTTATGACTTCCATAATACATTACATATTGATTCAAGGTTATGAACAATGATATATAGCGTATTGAATGAGTTTAAACCAATGATGGGCTAAAGTTGTAGGCTACTCACATACAACACTTATTGTGACTGCACCAGATACTGGTGAAGGTGGATCATTTAGAACGTTAACCTCACATTGATATATGCCATCATCAGTTCGCATCGTGTTATCAATAACAAGAGTAAGTTGAGAGCCATCGCCTTCAACACTAAATCTATCAGCATAATCCACATGCACATGACTAGGTACTTCCTGATACTCCACTATTGTCACAGGTGAGCCGTTGACAACCTCTCGCCATCTAATAGTTGGATCATTAGTATTTGTAGGATTACTTTTTTGAACGGTACAAACTAATCGTGTTTCTTGGCCTTCAACAGCATGCCCATCAATAGATACTCTGACAGTTACAGCAGAACAAACATTTAAAACACTGAAAATATAAAAAAACATCAATGATTTCTTTTTATCACACTGAAATCATCACCATTATTATGTAGGGATTCCAGTCAACTTGCCCCTAGAAAACTTACCACTTGCAATCTCTCCTCCACCCACCCCCCCCCCCCCCCAAAAAAAACACCCCAAAAAAAACAAACTCATAACAAACTATCCCCCTGAAAAACTTTCCCCCTAATAATTAGCCTAATATTTTCAAATTTTATTTTATTTTTATTCTTTGTTTTATTACTAATGTATGTTTCTTGTCACTGTACCACTTTGAAAATCAGTACTATAGTACTAAAAGTGCCTACAGTATAAAGAAAGATTAAATTAAATTAAACAAATTTCCTCCTACTCTTCTACTCTAAAACATTTGTTTACCTTTTGAACACTTTTTGTCTTTCATAACAATTATACAGCAACTACCGTAGATACATAATTACAGGTTGAAGACTACTTAATACATTTTGCCGATGCAACATTCTTTTACCTTTATTACTGATACATGGCTATCTTTTTTTGGTTTATATGTAGGGAAAGACTGAATGACTTTTTTCAAATGTTCATGTTTCCATGAGCGAGCAATTGAGCATTAGAAAAATGCCACCTAAACCTAATTTTTGTGTCAAAGTCGCACCAGGAATGAAAATAAAAATGAATGATGTTTATTGAATTATAATGGGTCTAAAAATAATATTATTATTGCTGGTTTAATGATGGAAATGTGTATTTTGGATTATTTTTATTGATTTTTATTAATTTTTTTTACTTATATTATTCTAATGCTGGTATTTGTTTACCCGATTGCTTGGAGAGCCACATAGTAATTTATTTTACTGTTTGGCAGTCCCACCGCCTCTTGGGGAAAACATGAGACTACCTTTTATCAAGTTTATAGTCTATTTGTATTATATTTATAAACAAGGCGGTATGTCAGCTAAGCCTAGCGTTAGACCAGTGAATTAATCCCCATCAGAAGTGCCTGGACCCCTGCCCATATATCTGATACCATTTGATTCGTTATTTACTATATATGTATACACATAAATATATACAAATAAAAAATACACACACACAAGGTACACATCCTCCACTAAAACTTCTATGAATGGAATGACCAGATACAATTTAACACAGACTCCTGTAGACCAAACCCAATACCTTTTCAGTTTTAGTCGTACAGAAAATTTATCCAAAAAACATTACTAAGTAATTTAGATTTTTACCAGAAAATATTGACCAAGATATGAAAATTGTACTTACGAACAATTATATTTTTTAAACCTATCTATGTTTATTCATTTATTTTCTTATTTTACATTTCTTTTCCTTTTGTATAATTATATTCTTTTGTTAGTTCTTAAAATTATTTACTAAATCTATATAAATTCCATTGTTACTTGGTATATATTAAGGGTCTCTAATGATCAGATGGATGGAATAATCTCACAGGATATTGTTCAAATCAAATTTATGGTAAATTTTAAGGTACTAATCAAGTTATTATACAAATTATTGCAAATAATATATACCTGAATATAAGTGTAGCCGGAATTAAGATTAACATCTTGTGTGCCCGCCTGTAAAAAACAATGACTGAGTTAAAAAACATGACAAGAAAAAGAGAGATAAAAATGACTACTGGCATTACAAGGGTCCCAATTGGAAGAAGTAATTTCGGGTTGATCTGAGATAGCGGGTCGAAGCGTAAGTAGGGGTGGGGGCAGGGATTTAACTTCACAGATGGAGGGTCTACACCATCTCAGCCCCACCATGTGAAGTGGAATCAAGAAAATTTATGATTATGGCACCTCTAGATGGTTGGAAATTCCACACTTAAGACTTAAATTTGAATAAAATTTTCTTCTTTTTCTACCCACTTAATAATTTAAAAATATTTATAAAGGCCTGGCCGGCTCACCCCCCCCCCCAGAACTGGTGTATTGGCAGCGTTTAGGGGAAATGGTATAAAAATGGGATGATGTTGATACTGCAATATCTAGAGCGGTTATGACTTGAATTAACAAGTGGGCACCCATTTTTATAGGCTATAGTCCGGTCAAAAATATCCTTAACCATGATATAAGTTCATACCTTAACGAAATTCAAATCAAAGGTCCTTTATATACAGTATTGGAAAGATCATATATTGGTGTCGCGTCATACAAAAAGTAGGATTTAAGGGAAAAAAGCAACCAGTTTTTAGCCGCTTATCACCGTCAATTGTTTACTTTCGAGAAGTGACGTCATGGCGCTGGAGTAACGATATGCCAGCTGTGTCTCTACAAAATTTATTGTCAAAATGATACGTTCGCTAAAAGGTAACAGTAACACAATGCATTTTGATACGTAACATTATGATTATTTAAATATAACGCTATATATTTTTAATCGTACAAATCTAAGAAACGAGAGCATCAATGATGCAATAGCTCACTTGACAATAGCTGGCAATGTTTAAGTGCTGTCGGTGGGTGGAGGTTGTGTGGCGTGTTGTTATGTGTATTGAGCATAAAGAAAAACATTTAAAGTTAGAGTTAGTTGTATGCATCATCATAGACCTTTTTTGTTATGTTCACTTAACCATGGCCGGCGGAAGCGGGGGGGCCGGGGGCCCCCCACTTTGGCGAAAAATATATAATGTCTGGAGATTTTTGTATGATCGGAAATGCAAAAAAAGAAGGGAAGGAGGAGAAGGATGGGAAAGAGAATGTTTATCCTGTACCCGACCGAGTTACATTTTCTCGAAATTCACATTGGCGGATCTGGGGGAGGGTTAATGGGTCCTGACCCCTCCCTTGGGCAACAAAAAAGGGGAAAAAGAAAAGAATTCTAAACCTACCTTTTCAGAACCTGTGAACTGATTTTTTTTATAATTTTTTTTTGTTGCTATTAGAAAATTAGAATTTTGAAGAACATAAAATTTATTAATACACACTTCAAGTGTCGGGAAAGCTCAATTCCCGCCATCTAGGAATCAAACTTTTTCCGGGAGAGAACCCCCGGACCACCCTTTCTTTTTTGGATTTATCGATTCATGGAAAAAAAATGAGAAAAATTTACCTGACCTTTTTCAAGAGGGGAAAACCTTGAATTTTGTAGAACTTTAAAAGTCATTAAAAGACATTTCAGAAGTCGAAAAGCTCATCTCCAGCCATCTAGAAATCAAAATTTTTCCGGGGGAACCCGGACCCCCTTTATCTTTGGGGTTCATTGATTAATTGAATCATTTTCAAGGGGTGGGGGGCCTTGAATTTTGAAGAACTTAAAAGTAATTAAAGACACGTCAGAAGTCGGGAAAGCTCATTTCCCGCCATCTAGAAATCGAAATTTTCCCGGGGGAAGAATGTTGAAAAAGAGAAGAGAAAAATAAAGACAAGAATAAAAAGGAAGATATAATGAACAGATATCACAATACCCCTGCAACCCCTTCTCCACTTCAAAAAGTGTCCATAGCTCATTTGATCTAAGCCGCCAGATATTCTCCGCAGTGGCGTAAGCACCGGGGGACAAGGGGAAAATATCCATCTGTGGAAAATCTTTCCCCATTGAATGCCCTTTTCACCCGGGAAAGTGCCTGAAAACCTCAAATTTTAAATCGCATATTTTGTTGAGGTAGGCCAATTTCCTCTAAAAATTGCAAATTTAGGAAGTTTTGATCAATTCCGACAAAATTAGAATTAAAAACACAAAAATTTTTTGCGCGCATTTGTTAGGGTTGAAGCTTATGCTTGCCCTCCTTATTCTAAGTTATTTAAAAACCTAATAGTCTCCAACTTGAGAAAGAAAATTTAAGATAGATCGTTTTACCTAAAAGAAGGGCCTCAATGTGTAATGATGGTGAAAGAATAGGCCTATGATTGTAATAAATAAAACCATGATGAAAATGCTTATATTTAGTTTCAAACACACGTTGTGTGGTGTCTGTCTCTTATACACATCTAGATGTGTATAAGAGACAGCCCCCCCCCAACCCAACACCCCTGTTACGCGCCTTCTTAAAAGTGGGGCCCCCCACTTTGAAAAACGTTCCGCCGGCCCTGTTAACAGTTAGGAAAGGTGTGATGTCGTGTACAGTGACATTAATGGAAATATGGTTGTTGTAAGGTTTGTTGTGTACGTAACTTTTTAAAATATTTTGTACTGTAATTATGAAGATATTTACGTAGAGGTTTATGATATAAGTAGACAGTTTGCTGTGTGAATGCTGGGTTCACTCTAACGTTCATTTTTGTTTAGCCAAAATTGGCTAAAATGTTAAAAATTGTTATCATGCACTTAAATGGCCCGAGTGAAGTTTCATGCAAATGTTGCGTACGGAAAAAAAAAATTGTGGCCTGGCCATTGACATTGAAATCATTCAAGCATTCAAGTAAAAACCCCCAAGCTCGAAAGCCATTATTTACCCAGCAGTCGGCTGCTTTATTTCTGCTGTTGTGTGTGCACTTGGGCATTTGGAGCACACTAACAGCTAGCCGACCGTCGTGAACATAGAAAGAGTACAGACAGGAATTACAGTACTGCTTCGTATCTGCGCGTAACCTCTCGTAATCTGCTTGTAGGTTATGTTTTGAACGTAGCTACGAAGGTCATTGTTATTTTAATTAGCATTGCAAACTTCGTAGGCTGGATCGTCGGGCTGATAAACAATGTGTAAACAATATTGAAATATAGTTTACCAGCTTTCAGCACGTGAACAATGTTGCAATTTACTAATAAACAATGTTAGAACTTATTGTTTTGTTATTTCCTACCTTATTATTAGATCGATCATGTTTTAAAACTGTGTTTAGTTCGATAGCTAGGTAAACCTAGTGGGCCGTCAGTATGTTCGAATTTTGATGTCATAGAGGAGGACAGCAGATAGTAATTTATACTGGTTAACTTTCCAATTCGGAGAATTTTGATCTGATATTGTTCTGGTAGTAGGAACTTTCTTCTTTTAAATAATAATACTGATGACAAATCATGTACATGATCCAAGCGATCCAATACTAATGAACTACAGAAATCACTACTTTGCCAAAGTAAGGCTAGTCATGCTAGACCACATTTTCTTCGTCTTTTACTCACTGTCGCTCACACCTTTTCAACATTTGCCACGAGGTTACCCTTTAACACACTTTACTGTGTTCTGATTGGTGCGCACTCTGTCCGATGCTGGATTTTTGGGGTTGAGAAGATGAACTGGCATTTTGCCAAGTTTTATTTTCCATTGGGTTTTACATGTGACATTTGGTAATTTTACAATTAACGGACGTTAACTCTCTCTATATTTATTATTTATCATACTAAATCAAGGCTACAAAGTATTATTTGATGAACAATTTTTTCACGTGTGTGTATTGTCATTGAGGGCATCTTTTTTAACAGTTAAAGAGGTAAAATAATTGTAAATAAAAACCAGAACCCTGCGGGTGTGTACGTTCCTTTGTACGTAAACGTAGTTTAGAGGGATATGTAGTCCAGTAATGGTTTCTAATGTTTTTACGTACACCTACACCCCCATACAGGTCCGTCCATCAAATGCTGTATATTCACATACCTGCCAACATTCGAATATCAAAAACAGGGACGCTATTCATTGGTGACAAAAAATTAAAATGACAATTATATCCTAATTCCTGTACAGTTGCTTCAAACAAACAAGAGTTACTTAATTTCAAGTGTACTGTTTATTTACCTCACAACCAAGAAAAAATATTTAAGTTACATTTTAATCAGTAGGCTTACAGACTTCACCATGAAGGGCACGGTATGTTGCATGTTTCGCTGGATCTCATTAGAGTCATAACGTCAATATTTATTCGAATGACACTTATAATTTCTGTTCAACATTTCCAGCTTGTGTGTCATTAAAGCACTTTAAGTTTTTGTTGTCATGCTAGCTCGAAGCTTGGTTTTGTTTTTTCAACAATAAAGAAAACTTTCTGTCACTACTGCTATAAAATATTACCATAGTTTCCCGGGTAGAATCCCACACCGACTTTACGCCCAACTTCGCGTACACGAATTTCCCCGGGTAATGTCCCAGGGTCTGAGGATTGGGTAAGTCGACCTAGCAGGCCTTGCCTAGGTCAATAAATTTAACAAATGCTCAAAAATAAAGGAATTGTCGGCGCTAATGCATAAGTTCACCACATCTTCAAAATCAAACTTCAAGTTGTAATTCCTTAAATATTCATGTATTATGCAAAAACATTCCTTTACCCACACGATTGAAACTATTATATGACAAATCCAGTTTGTATTATTAAGAAAAATTCGGTTTTACCGCAGCTCTCTCGAGTGGCTCCCATCCGATCGCTTTTCGGCCATCTTGTAAATGAAATGGTTGCCAGAATCACATATATACGATTTCTTGTAACTTAGGGAATCAATTGTTTAACACTGTGCGCTACTATACCCATTTTGGTTCTAGTTGCGCACAGTGATAATGAATAGGATAAAATTAAATTCAGTTGATGGGCATTGCATCGAATACATAAGTTCACCTCATGCTCAGAATCAAACTTCCAAGTTGTATGCCTTTAGCTACACGATTTACACTGTTACATGACAATTCAAGCTTGTAATTATTAATTTTTTTTAAATCCGGTTTTACCGCAGCTCCCATCCGATCGCTTCTCGGCAGTTTATCGTTGTGCGCTACTATACCCATTTTGGTTCTAGTTGCGCACAGTGATAATCACTGTGCGCTAC